AAAGAAACATTTTTGTGAAGATAGAAAAACATTAATATGAAACTTACTATCTAGAGTTTAAAAGGTTCAATCTCCACATACATTCATTAGAGGCATAAAAACCAACCCTTTCAAATGTTGTCCTGATTAAAAACATAGGCCCCCCCAAACAAAAGCATTTAATACCTTTATGTTAAAAATCAAGAATAAATAAACTGAAGGCCAAGTCCCTCTGAAGCTAATAGTTATCCTATGGGCTTCAGTGAAATGAGAAAAAGTGAACTGAATCCACAGTTCATCTATGGACTAACAGAGATTTCTAAGTGAGCGCCACTCCTAAGAGACAGAGCACTTGGTGTCCTTTTGAGGTTTCACATCTGGCTCTTTTACAGGTTTCACTTCTTCTGGTTTGGGTTTGACCTAAGGAGAAAGAAAACAAGGTAAACATGCACATAAAGACTGAGAAACCCCACAAAGCTCTCCTCTACTTCGGAGCTTCAAGGGTGCTGAACTTAAAGGACAGCACTGAGGCTAACCACACCAATCCAGAAGCTGCATCCATAGGTGACATGTCAGTGCATGAAAACTTATTAGACTACAGCGGGTACTCCTCCCCTGCAACTTTTCCAGGAAGTAACAACTCAGTAATGGAACCCTAGAGCGTAGACGTTTATGACTATGTAAGCTGTCTTTGAAGGTACTGTTTTGGAGGCTTCATAGGAAGAAAAGATGGTTATTTTTAGGACTAGTTGTATGGGTAGAAGACTGCCTAAGATACGCAATTTCACGAGAGGATTGTGTTAGTTAAACAATCTGAACTCCTCTGTCACGGATCCCTCGTCTTTCCAGAATTAAACATAAAACATTTCACATGACCTGCCATTTGACTAGAGCACCACGGGGTGCTTAAGGATTAATGAATGTAAAAGCATTCTACTTTACTTCTGGATGACTAATGCAATGCTGAAGTTAAACTGAATCTTCAAATACCAGTGTCAGAGGAGGCACTGATATGGCAACATCAACACGGTGACCTGTCCTCCATGCTTTTCTTATAGAAAGCACTGACAAATTGTGAAAATGAGATACTGTGTTGAAAACAGTGCCAGTAAATTGCACAGAAAGCCAGAAGACACGAAGGTGCAGTGTCTTGGCTACTCTTGAGCACCACCTGCACAGAGCAGATCAAGCATGGCAGCAGACTAGCTGAGCACTTAAGACCAATACCGACCCTGCTCAAGTAGACAAAGGCGTCACAAGGCTAGCTCTGCATTCTTCCTAAACGGCTGTGATTAGAAAGAAAACCCCATTCTCATACACTGTCATCCTTGGGTCTCTTGGTGAGATCAAATGCAGCCAACACTTCTGGTGTCCAGAGAGCACTCATAGGAGGAAATTCGAAAGGTACAGGCTCTACCAGCCCATAGTTTGCTTTGAGTTCCAGTTGTGGGGCTTCTGTTGGAATTTTTTGAAAGTAACTGCAAAAAGCAATTTAAAAAGTGGTTTAGTCATTTATTCAGCAACTGCTTGAGTGCCTAGTATGTTCAAGGCCTATGATGAGTATGACAGTTCTCTGCCCTGGGGCACAGTCACAGATGAACACACGAGAAAAGTCAAGAAGCCCTGTCAACTACAGCACAGTGCAACAGAAGCTTCCAAGGACAGAAAGAACACAAAGAGGGAGAGTAAACCTGGATTTGGGGGCTCAGTCTATTTTCAAGGGAAGCGATAAAACTAAACCAAATAAGTGGAAAGTTTAGTGTGACCCAATGCAGACTATCACAGGAAGAACACAGAGGCAGGCAGGGAGAAGAATGACTCTCCCATCCTATAAAAGCATTGAAATACAGTTTGCACATCGATTTACTAACAGTCTTAGTCTTATTGCCCGAAAGGACCATGAAGAATTATGAGAAAATCAAAATTTCCTGCTGTATAGTTAGAGCAAACCAGTGAGACAAATATGCAAAAGAAGTTGATCATACACACATTCTACATACCACACACACACCCCAAACATAAACACACACATATCCCAGATAGAAGTAACATATGGAAACAAAGTTAAGAGAGAAAGAAGTCTTTATAGGAGTGCCCTGATGAAATAAACTTTGTTAACAATTCACATTTAAAATTTAAAACCTATTTTTAATGACATCCTATACAGAATAAAAGGCCTTGCAAACAACTTTATTACCAATATAAAGAGAAAATTAATGCTAAATTTAGATGCAATTTAAGACAAATCCTTTGGGACTGGAGATTAAAAACTGTACAAAGGTGCTACCATTTTAACACTCATAACCATGTGGTACTAGTGTTAAGGAGTGAGCAGTACTCACATGAACCCATTTTCTCTCTGACAATTGTCCAGCGTGTTCTTCACAAGGCTTCCGAGCTTCCGAAAGAACAAGTGTCCTGACGGCTTGGCCGTTGGTCCTGGTCCTTTGGTTTCCCCATACTCTTTGCATAGGGCTTCTGCCTCTGTGTACACTGCAGAGAAGACAACAATCTCAGAATAACTGCACCCTGCTTGTGAATACTGACGCTTTAAGTCAGCTGGTGTTACCTGCTCTAAAAGCAACACCAACGACAACACTGTTGAGAGGCAGCATTTCCTAGAGGCTTGAGGATAAGATTTTGTTCTGTTTCCAACTCTCTTGCCCATTCCCTTTCATGAACTCAAACACAATCTACTCATTCCCTTTAGAATGAAAGAATTTTTTTAAGGAAATTAAAATTCTAAAAGCAAAACTTACATTTTTCTGCTTCTTGGAGAGACCTGATTGCTTCTCCACATTTATCACTAGCCAGCAGAGTCTGGCCATGGTAACAATACGCCTGGCAAAGGAAACATTTTCATAGATTCTGTCCTCGCACATACATGGCAGATAAACACTGTCAGTCACTGCTTGGGACTATCACAATGCAATCTTTTGTATCATTTACTTGAGGTAAGCTCCCCTCCTACTCCATCTCTGTCCAAACAAAAGAATTAGGCCTAGTCCTGAGGCGAATGATTTCTAATCATGTTCCAAGAGCAAAACCTGATAGCTGAAACTTCTTTTAAAAATCAGGACAGAAGTAAAAAATTGAGAAAATTATTTGTTATACATATGTAAAGGGAGGGAGTAGTATTTGGAGATGAGAGAATAGTGCGCGTGTGTCCTGAAACGTGCTCTTCTATAACTGAGACTGGGTTCAGGATCCTCCTGCCTCAGCTTCAAATGCTAGGGTTACAGGCATGTATCACCATGCCTAGTAAGGACCACAGGTTTTAAGAAGAAAGCATCAGGCTGAAAGTCTACTCTTTAAAATCCATTGGTACAGACAGTTGGTGTTGGGCAGGAGTATGTTGGGAAATGTTACGATACGTAAGGGTAAAATTATTTACTTAACTCTGAAAAAGCTTTTAACTGCCTCTCATATGATAATCTTGAAACAAGTTTGGTAGTTTAATAAACTGGTCAGGAACTTCTAAAATGGTGCGGACATACTGGTTTTCACCTAGGTGATACACACCCCATGGTATGCCTTAAGATTAAAGCTAAGAAACAAGAACAAAATCAGCGTGAGCCTACAAGATCTGAGAGTGAGGCAAGGTGCCCTGTTGTCTGCTGTGAGGTAGGCAGGCTGGCTGCCCTCCAGCTCACTGTGGGGGCTGGGATTTCAGATGTGCAGAACTGCATCCAGCTTTACACGGCTTCTGGGGATCTCAAGTCAGGTCTTCACACTTGCTTCACAAGCACTTAAGCTACTGAGCCATCTTCCCAGGCCATGAAGTTTAGAATCAGTTGATATCCTTCTCAACAGTCAGGATAAAACAACTGAGAGAATTCTCAATACCTATCCAGCCTGAAAGTACAGTTTGGGAGCACACGGCAACCGCGGGTCTCCAATTCCCTCCCGTTTCCTCCCACCACTGCTGCCAGTGAACATTTACTGACAGCTGCCTGTCACTGGCCTGCTGCTAGTGAGTACTGCTGAGATGAGAGCCCTGCCAATCGAAGGCCTGGACTCACTGTCTGGAGGCTTACTTACGTAGGTACTGGTTGGTACTTACATAAGCCGTGTAGAAGCACATCTTCAAGTGGAGGTATTTTCTCCATTTGGCAGAGTATGCAGGCTCCAAACTGGATAAAGTATGATCTAAAGTTACATTTTAAAGAGCAAAGTATCATTTCACCCTGTTTCACTGGAGCACGGCTTAGTTCCTGTGTTCTGGTGCTAAAAGCAGAATGCCATCTAAACTCTAGCTTTCATACATTAAGAAAAAAAACCTAAATATTTAACATAATTTATTCCCCCATAATTATATATTTGAACAGCATAAGTACCTCTTCAATTTGGTGGTTAATGTAACTTTAAGTTAGTGATAAAATGAAATGTGACAGGACTAAGGATTTCAAAGCAAGTATTCATATCATAGTTTTAAAACTGTATATAATAAAGTCAGGCACACAGCAATGTATTTGCCTGCCAGCAACAACTCATATCCATCCAACTATTACTGAACCTTGCAAGAAAATATACATTCACTCACTCACATGTCCGCACATGCTCATGTAACCCAAACACTTCCTAAGTTGGTTTTGATCATCCTTTTTTTTTTGACTTTATTATCACTGTTAAACCTTTCTTCATTTCCTCCAAAGCCTGTAACAATTTCTTTTTAAATACTGAGCAAGCCTACTCCTTCATATAGTAAGCCCATGGGTAAGCATGGAAATTTTCTTCCAAAATTACAATTCAGTCAACTCACACTCACTTTGTTTTGAGATGAGACTAAAAGACCACCTTCCTCTCACAAGCCTTGGCTAGCACACCCACGCTGTTCAGTTTCTTACACTACTGATGTCATGTCTGACATCACGACCTGACTACAAGTTCATCTCCTTCCCAGACTGTGAATTTGTTCTTACCTATTCAGCAACTAAAATAGTAACCAGCCTCTAAACAGAAACCTAAACATGTTCCCTAGATCCCAGGAACCAAGTCTGGTTCCCTCTTTCCACAAGACAGTAGTCAAGTCATAGGTGGTCAGATGACACTTAACAGTCACTTTCTTATCTAAATACCGATTAGAATTATCAAACAGTTCTAAAGATCTGGACACGGTGGTACATGCCTTTAGTCTCAGCAATTGGAAGGCAGAGGCAGGTGGATTTCTGGAGTTTGAGGCCAATCTAGTCTACATAGTCAATTCTAGGGACAACCAAGGCTAAAAACTGAGTACATATATAAATAAGATTGCTATAAAGACCAAAATGGCAAAGGCTGCATGCTGCATAAAGCTGGTTCTAACTGGTAGAAAAGACAACACACCGTCTTTCCCATTAGAATCATGTGACACATTAGCTGTGAAGCTCTGGGACTGACACAAGTACTCTATTAGCTATATTCCAAGCTCCTCATACATTAATTTACAGCATATTAACTAACATGTATTTGTGCATATTTGTGTCTGGGAGGAGCATGTACGTGAGTGTGCCTGTATGTGGAGGCTATTCACCTTGTCTGCTGAGACAAGATCTCTTTACTTTTGCAACTTCCTGATGGCGCGAGGCTGGCTGGTTAGCAAGCCCACGGGTCCCTTTTGACTCCTCCTCCTCAGTTCCAAGATCACAAGCACATGCCATCACACTTGGCTTTTTTACATGCTAGGGATCTAACTTAGGTCCTAATGCTCATATGGCAACTTCTCCCACAGAGCTGTCTCCTATTTTTGAGACAGTTTACCCAGGCTAGCCCTGATCTTTCTCTGCAGCCCAGACAAGCCTCAGTATAATCCTCCTGTGTTAGCCTCCAGAGTAGCTATGCTTATTTCAAAGCCAAAAGCCCAAAGACTTTATTCTAATGTTGTGATGGAAAATATGAGCTTCTTTTCTTTTGTTTTTAGCAAAAAGTCAAGCGAACACAAAACTCTCAAGACCTGAGAAAGCAACAACACATGGTGTTACCTGCTTTCTGGTAGAAACTGGCTGTTTCGTATGCGAGCGCAGCAATCCGTCCTGGAGCATGCTTCAGCTCAATGGCTCGGGCAATTGTTACTGTAACCAACACACAATAATTGCAAGCTCTAAGTTCACATTCATCTGTGGGAAGTTTAGTCATAATAGCCAACAACAGCCTGATGCTCTCTTTTCAAGTTTTAAAATTTCAAGTGTAAAAACTTATAGAAAAATGTAAACACAAAAAGAAAACACTGACTTTGTTTTTCTGATATAGTGTCTTTAAATAACTAGCCAATTATTAGCCAAGCACAGAGAATGACTATAAAACAGCATGACATATAGAAGAAAAATACTTTCAAAACATTTGATTTTGAAAGATAAGAAACTTAGGAAGTTACTTTACTGTTCTCTGCAGCTCCAAGATGAATACTTCGAGGTAAGTTAATGGTGGAAGAAGAAAAATAAAAGCCCAAAACAAGAGGAAAGATGAGCTACAGAATGAATGCTAGGCCAAGCAATGGCTCACAGTGAAGAACATACAGTTCTCTTTCAGGAGAACCTTGTGCACAAAAACAAATTTTGAAAAAAAGAAAACCCAGAGATCAACATTAATCCTGTCAAAAAAAAAAAAAAAAAAAAGCATAAAATCCAAATACTCTTTAAAGGAGCATTAACTAGAAGGAGATCTGCTGACAGCAAAGGAAACATGAAAGGTAAAATGACCCTTAAAATCAATCCTTAAAACTGAAACTTAATACAGCTAAATCTGAGAGTCAAAAGCCAATATAAACATTCTGAAAAACCAACAAACACACACCTTACTGTATTTAGGATACCTTCTTGAGCCTCAGCCTGGCACTGAAAGACATAAGCATCTATGAGCCGAGCCTCTAAGTCCCGTCCCTTCTCCGCTGGTGTAAGAAGTTTGGGTATATGACTTTCCTAAAGAGAAAGAAAACAAACATGTCAAATTTTATTTCAACACTATTGTCAGAGGTGAAGAAGATACATCTTATGGGATATTCAACTTAAAGACTTTCTGCGAACCTAAGTGGATAGATCAAGCAACAGCTGTGAGCTCATAGGTGAGGTGAGGTCTTGAGCATGCAAAGTGAACTTTATAAGAAACCCAATGGCAAAATTTAGGTTATGGATAGATTTTTTTTTTTCTGAAAAATACAATGTAATACAAGCAAACTTTTGAAAGTATTTAGCTGCAATAAGAACCAAAATTCTCTTTTGTGCTGTGAATTGTTCACTCACATAAAGAATAAATGATGCACAGGAAGTACTACAAGCTCTGCATCTAATTCTGGTTGAAAGACACCATAAAGCCACCTCCAAAAGGACCTCAGTGATCAGTAGTTTTAATCAGAATGAAGCAGAAGGGTGATCTCAGAGGAAAAAACATTATTTTTCCTCAGAGTTCCCATCTCATCTGCAGCCTACCTGATACAATCAGAATGCAATGACTGAAAGGCCAGTGAGAGACCCAGAATGCAACCTCAGAGTCAGTTCTGGGGAATTGTCACTGCTCTTGGCAACCGCAGAGAAAATGAGCAAAGCACAGACCTATTTATCCATTTTGTTTTTTCTCAGGGTAAAGAGAGAAAAAAGTAAGCAGAATATTACAACCTAAACCGTCTAGTTACGAGTCACCAACGTTCAGGTAAAGATGGAGCTATTAAACACTCAGCCTGGCTGTGGCTCACTAATAAAGCAGTGAACACACAGCGCGCACAGTCAGCTCACAGGCATGAGCACACACCACATTTGCTCTCAGCCACCTGAGACTGCATCTGGCTGAGTCTCCACAGACATTTTCCTTGCACCACTCCCTAGACAGTACAGAAGAACAAGTACTCACAGGGCATTAAACTGTGCTAGCCAGGAGATACGATTTCGGGATACAGGATGTGCATGGCTTACATGCAGACATCATTTTAGAAAAGGCACTTGGGCAGGGGGTGTTTGAAATGGAGATTTGGAAGAGGCATTCTGTAAACCAACTCCCTACAGTTACTAGAGGGACTGTATTATCTCCCCTGACACAACAGAGTTACTAATCTCTCCACAGAGTTCAAGAATTAAAATGCTACCCCTTCCCCCACATCATCCCCCCCACCCCCGCCATTTTACCTTTAAATGTTTAAAAATCCCAGCTGCAATTTTTAGGCTTCGATGGACTTCTTTTGCTTCATCTTCTGCTATGCTTTAAGACAGCGGTTGTGTTAGCTGGAGGAGGAATCTTTGTTTCTGATAATAGCCAACACATTATGAACACCAAGGCTGAGGGATGGCTCAGTGGCTAAGAGCTGCTCTTGCAGAAGACTCGAGTTTAGTTCCCAGCACCCACATGTCAGGCAGCTCAAACTGCCTGTGACTTCAACCCTAAGGTGACCCAATGCTTCTGGCCTCCACATGCATGTGCGCATACCCACACAGACACATCATTTAAAAACATCAGAGAACCAATTTAGCTTTCTTCCTTAAAAATAAAAAAATCTAATTTGACACTAAATTAAAAAGCACATGACATATCCCAAGACTGCAGAAAAACAGACACCTTGCCTAGAAGTAATTCCTAAACAGTTGTATTTTCTTTCCAGACTGTTCTGTCATAAACAAACACAAACTATTATGAACCTAACACACATGGTGGCTATACACACTACTCTGGTCATTTCAATCATCTAACTTCAGCAAACATGATTCATTCTTAAATGGCAGCACATTACTATGTATGGATGAATCATAACAATTCTGACAGTTTCCTAATTCTGTATCCACGTTAGTTACTACAACCGTGGTCTCATTTAATTTTACAATTCTTGGAAAAACATTATTTCCTCTGTGTGCATGAGTGGCAGTTAGAGGGCAAGTCTGTGGACTCAGTCCTCTCCATCTTTGTGTGGGTTCTGGAGTCCAGCCCTGGCTTGGATCGTCAGTCAGCAAGCACCTTTAAGCACTGAGCTACCTACTGACTCTAGTGTCCAATTCCTTAGTCTTCTGAACCTTAGGCTTAGCCTCTGTGTCTCTTTTTTATGAACTGCCTATTCATATCCTTTATTTTCAACTGACTTGGTAGTATTTTTTGTTTTGGGGATTATACATTTACAAATGGACAACTTACACTGTAATCTTGTTGACCAATCCTGTCATTGTTTTTACCTTTGTTTATAGTACTTATTTTACCTGTTTGTTTATTTTGGGTTTTTTGAGACCGGGTTTCTCTGTGTAGCCCTGACTATCCTGGACCTTGCTTAGTAGACCAGGGTAGCCTCAAATGCATAGATCCACCTGCCTTTGCCTCCTGGGTGCTGGGACTAAATGTGTGTGTAACCATGCCTGGCTTTGTTTATAGTGTATTAAATATAGTCAAATATTTACATTTTAAAAAGTGACCTCTTGGCTTAGAACCTCACTTAGGTCTACCATGTAAAAGATTATGAACATCTTTCATAATAGAGTACAGAGATGATTATGGCTTTGCTGCACAAGCCAGCAGCCTAGAATCAATCTCTAGAACCATGGAAAGGTGGAAGAAGAGAACATACTCCACAAAGCTGGCCTCTGACCTCCACATGAATGTGTACCCCTCTCCCACCCCGAGAACAATTAAAAAAAAAAATCTACAAAACAGAGACTAAGCTGCATAACTGTAGTACTTAAACATAAAACAATGACTCTTCCACTTAATTCAAGTGGACCCTCTTAACAAGTAGCATATGCTTAAGTTCAACGTATTAAAAACAAAAAAACATAAGATACAGACACATGCAAATTTTGCTTTTTAACTTACTTTTCTTTTCCAGCCAATCTTGAAGCATATTTCGTATACCATAATGCTACATTAAATCCCATAGAAATCAGTTCAAATACAGCATCCTGCTGGGCACTGGAATTAAGAATGAAATCATTACATTAAGAAATCATAGATTCTGATGACAGTGTTATAAAGCTTACTTGGCTTAGCAGGTTAAGGCTCTTGCTGCCAAGTCTGATGCCCTGAGTTCAATTCCTGGGACCCACATGGTTAAAGAGAACTGATTCCTGCATGTTGTTCTCTAAACTTCAGATATGCACTATGACATGCAGGCAATCACACATGTACACGTGACCACACACAAACATAAGAAATAAAATGCAGTAGTTAAAAAAAATTATACAGGTAGAAGCTAGGGTAGTGGCTTATGCTACTTATAGCATTTGGGAGGCAGAGGCAGGTGGATCACTGTGAGTCTGAGGCCAGCCTGGTCTACTTAGTGGTCTACATAGTGGCCAAGGCTACAAAGTGAGACCCTGTCTCAAAAACAAACAAACAAACAAACAAACAAAAAATATATAGCTGGCACACATAGATCGAGGTAAGTAACAATCTAAATATAATGGTCCAGAACTGTCTTAGTTTCATTCTATTTGCTAAAACACACACGCATACACAAATCTCCAAATCAAAACCAACCAAACGAAAAATCCAACTTGGGGAAGAAAGAGTTTATTTCATTTGACAGCTTAAAGTCCAACTTGAAGTAAGAACAGAAACTCAGGGCAGGAAGCTGGAGACAGAAACTGAAGCAGAGGCCAGGGCCAACACTGC